TTTGTATCTATAAAAAGAACGTATAAACATAAAATGTCTTAAAAAATAATTGTCGGGCTTTTTTTCCATTTCATATATATATATATATATATATATATATATATATATATATATATATATATATGTATATGTATATGTATATATATATATATATATATATATATATATATGTATATATATATATGGGTTCCTATAAAAAGAAAGTTGCAATAAACTAAGTATACGCTTTTGTGTTATAAATTTCAATACATGTGTTCTTATAAAAGAAAAACTTGCAATAATCTAAATTTGTTTATTGCACATTCTTTTGAGAGGCGAGTATAAAATTTTCTATTTTTATTACTGTTAGTCTTTGGTGTAATCATAAATATTTAATCGTCTACGTTTTTTTTTTTTTTTGTACACGTTCTTTTGAGAGATGTGTATTTTTAAAAAGGCCAGATGGTTTGTTTAAAAATTAAAGTATGCAGGTTAAAACCAACAAAATTGTTATGATCTACTTCAAGTTTATTGAAAATTATTTTTCGTATTTTGGGCCAATGAAAGACAATTTGTTCTTTGAAAACTTGGATGGAAAAGCCTCTTTTTTTTGCATAAATAGAACTCTGGTTAGCAAATTTATTTGACATCAAGGACGAAAAGGCATTTTACCATTAAGAAGAAAGCGCCCAGGCATTTAAGCGAGAAGGTAAATAGTTTCGGCTGCAGAGAGCCCAAAAACCTTTAAAGTTTTTTAAAAATTCTCGGTGGTAGAACAACGAAAAAAAGAATTCAAAGAAATTTTCCCTTTGGTGTAATAAAAAAGACATAAATGTTTAATCCCGAACACACAAGTAAAACTAGGTGTTTTTGTTTTTTTCTAAAAAGGTGGTGTTCTGCCTTCTTGGATGTACTTTCTCTTTTTGTCCTTTTCGAAATTGAATTCGTGTCTTTTTCTAAATTGTAACCCCTTTTTTTTTTCATTTTTGATGGTTATCCTTTTTTTAAAAATGTTATCCAGATGGTTATTATAAAGGCGAAAATATATCGTATATATATTATTTTCTTTTTAGTAACAGCTCTTAAAAATTTTAAGCAGTGGTTTGAGTTTTGAGTGTGCCTTATACAACTTTCTATTCCTACTAACTAGGTTTTTGCATTTGGCACAAGAATTTAAACCTGATAGGGAGTTAAATTTTTTTAGTTTTTTCGATTATTTCTTAAGGTTGGGTTTCCGGTTCCGTTTAAAGTTTTTTCATTCTCCTTCACTCCCATTAACCTTTGCATCTTAGTGGCATTATCACCTTGTTCGGATTGAATTTATTAAAAAAAAAAAAGAAAAAGAAAAGAAAGTAGAAAACTCAGGTGGATGAAAATTTTACAAGTGCATTTTTTAGGGGTGGCAGGTATCATTTCGCACCCTTCTCTCATTTAGAAGTACTACTATAAAACGAATTAGGGATGAAAGGATTCAAATAGGGCCAACGTTTCACATAGAAAACTTGATGCTAAATATCTATTTATAAGTTTGCAACTATTAGAAATTTGCAATAATTTATAGCTGACGATGACTCTTATCTATCTATCTATCTTCCTTTTGTTGTATTCTATTGGGAACACGTTATGTCATAAATTATTTATGATAAATTAAATAATTTAAATTAATTTTATGAACTATCTGAAACCAAACTACACAGCGGATAAAGAGGGAATCATTTTAAAAATCAACAAATATTACAATAACATAATTTAGAATGATTCTGAGTTAAAATACATTTATATGAATTAAAAAAAACCAACACTCTATTTCGAATTGTCGCGTCCATAAAGAAAAAGTGTAACCCGGATAAAGAAATTTTCCCAAATTAGAGCTTGTGTTAATGTATATAGTGTGACCAAACACGGATATAAGAGAAACCCGGATAAGACTTCTTTCCGGTCCCGACAAACTGTTATATGTCCCAGGAACAAATATAAAATTAAAACTGCTGTAGTGTTTGTGTCCATAAAAAAATTTTTTAATGTCAAAAATATTTTTTAATCGCTATCACCCCAAAAAGTACAACCACTACCACGCAACGGGTTCAGGGCGTGGAGGAATTAGGGACAGAAACATTAGTAATGAGGGAAAGAAAAAGAGCAATCAAAGAACAGTAGATAGCGGTTAACATTCTTTTAAATTTTGCAGATTAAAGTTGGCTTCGTGCATAGAGCCAGGAGGGAGTTCAAGCGGGAAGTGCGAGAGAAGAAACTGTTAGCATAGAACTTTTTACATCTAGTTGTAACCTGATGAGATCTCGCCACCAGTCTTTTATTGCGCTTAAATTTTAGGGTACCATGGCGAAAGCTCATCCAAACAGTTACCATTTGTAAAAAAAGGCACAGAGAGGCAACCTTACACCGGTGGGCAAGTAACTGAAGCCGAGCCGCCAGATCAGGTTAATAATAATAATATTACCGATTTTTCTTTGGATCTTATCAAGAAGCTCCAGGAAAATAGCAGGGACACTGGACCATATATGATGTCAATATTCTAAGCATGGACTCATGGTAGACATATAGATATGCAAGATAAATTTCGAGAGAAAAATTTCTCCTGTGAACCGACTTTCTTAGCAGCTGATCAGCGATGGATTCAATGTAGTCTTTCCGCCTCATATCAGGCGCAATGAGTCGCTTTCTTTAGCATCAGCTATTTGATGGAAGGCTGAGAGGGGTCTCTCAGATGATTAATGGAAAGTAGTTTAGTTTTGGAGGCGTTAAAATTGGCAAACCATCTTTTTCCCCCAGTTAACTACGGTCTTGATGTCGTTTTGTACATTGACTGCCATTTTGACTTATTATACAATTTAGAGGAATCAAGAGTTGTTTATCCCACTTCTTGATGACTTGAAAGGGATGCCATCGGGTCCGTTTACATTCTTTTTCAAGGTTTGATAGCAGAAACCATGGAATTAATGCCTATTGCAGAGAATCTTAGTTAGGCAGGGATATCAGATGAGTTGTAGAGTTTGAATTTTATTCAGCTTTATCAGCAGAAGATGATAAAAAATCGATTGAAAAGTGGGGAATATAACCTTGTACTTAGAGCCAAGTTTTTAGAGGCTATTCGGTGCCTTATTCTCTCATCAAAAGGGACTTAGCTGCTTCGAGGACTCGCTTACATTTGTTACGAGCAGTAACAAATAGGCACCTGTTATGAGAGATGTCATTCTGGATGAAAATTGAACCATGGAGAGGATTGCAGTTTCACTTGGTATTTCCGAGAAGGGATGAAAGCATCCATACCGCCCCCCCAAAAAAAACTTCAGTGATACAATTTTCAACTGAGGGATTGAAGCTGTTAGGTCAAGGGGCGTCACAGAAAGAAAATTCCAAAATGAGTCCCAATCAGCATGCTGGTATCGGAAAGAGGTCTTATGGATAAAAGGTTCCTGTTTAATGGATGCTTGGAAGGAGATATCAATAACTATCACGGAGTGGTCCGAGTTCCTAATAGGGCAGTATTGTGACGCTTGACAAGGTAAGAAATAGATTATGTATTATATTGCTCGGTTTGGCTAGGGGATATGATTTGAGTAAGGGATTGGGCAATGGAAAATTTTAATGTCAGTATATCGGCAACATCAGTACCTTTAGAATGTCTCAGCCATGTGTCGTGGTGAGCAAAGTCACCGAAGACTAAAATATTCGCAGATATATGGATGGAGAGAAAGTGCTTTTCTATACTTTCAGCTACTGCGTCTAATATATTGCAGTTTTGGGGAGAGGAGGAGCGATAAAGGTAAAAAAGAGATAGCTGACAGACTTTAGTAGCGAAAGACATGAAATTAAGTCAGCGGCCTCAAAAGACAATTCGCTAGTCACCGGAAGATTATGAGCACATTTCTTGTGAATGCGGAATTCTTTTCGATAAAGGAGAAGATACCCTGGAGGTAAGAACTATAAAAGAATTATAACAATTATTATAATCATTAATTCACTCATTCTAAACCAATGAGAATCAACCCCACTTTTCTCCTTGACACAAACAAACACGTGACATTCTCACTATCGAACAAGCAGTTCACACGAAAGTGACGTATGTCAACAAAATTTTAATCTCGTTTCCTTTTCAAATGACATATGTCTTTTTAGCACTCAACAAAAATTAAGGTAAAAAAACCCCAGACACTACTTTTATTTTTCCAATTAAATTATCTGGACACTCATATATATATATATATATATGAAGAAATATAGTCTTAAGGTGTGCTATATTTATGGGATAAAGTGCTCGATATCAGAGATAGAGTGTGTAAATAGGCGACAGTCTGTTCCATGCTATATGCAATCGATTTTATTTTTTCTCGGCTATTTATACATATACAGTAATGGCGGTTTAGAAGTCGTTTATTTAAAAAATTGTTTATATCACTTATTTAATAGATTTGTTTGGTTTGAGAATGTAAAGCTATCTGTTCCGTTTTGAAGTATATGTATAAAACACGAAAAATATAACAGTGGCCTAACGATTGCATATAATGAAACAGACTCGCCTCTAAGTGTTCTCCGGTCCCGCTTAAACACATATTCCATGATCTAATTTATCCATTGGAATCGTTACGATCCAATTCATCAGATAAATTCAAAATATAAAATTATCTATCTATCTATCTATATATGTCGATTTTTCCAAGTGTTTAGATGTCCAAGGCCGAAATAAAAAAAAAAATGTCTTATCCTTCTGTCGGATTTCAATCCATATTTTGACCCCAAACAAACACACAGTTTTTTTACACAGTATTTATTGTCTCTTGTCCTGTCCACATAACAACCAGATAATAATACTTGTTTTGTTGTTTCCACGTCTTGCTGTTTCTCATTTTTACGAGTATTTTTTATAAATGTTAGGGAGTTTATAATTATTTACTAATTCCCCTACAGAATGTATAAATATTGATGTAAGCGACGATAAAAAAAATATTGATATAAGCGACACTAATATTTATTGAAAACGAAACTCTAAATTAATAAATAACATGGCTGTTTTGAAGCGGAAGGAATGGTCTTCGTTTCCATGCCCCGAACGTGAAGTTCAACTTGGCTTTGTTTTGGCTTGTGGGCAATCATTTAGGTAAAGATCCGGTTATTTTCTGTTAAATTCACTTCAAATAATCAATGTAAAGTTACTTATCGCAAATATTAATTCACTCCAAGAAATGAAATCAAATTTTGTTTTTTATTAAATTTTGAACTTTTATTAAAAAATTATAAATTTTAAATCAAAATTTGTTTTTTAGCTTGTCTTGTAATAACTCGAACCCTCAGAATGAAAAATTACCAAAAATCAGGGTGTTATTCACATTTCGTAAGTGCGAAGTTCGAGGTACAAGGATTTTTTTACAATTTAAAGAAAAAGAAAAATACCTGTTTTTAGCTTGTTTATCGGGGTGAGACTGAACGTTGATCCCACACTTAGAAATAGCGCACCCGAGTCACCCACATTTGAGATGATCGCCAAGATCGACCTACCGGAGTGCAATGTAAGGAAGGGCCTTGCTCTGGGAGAATTTGCTGTGAATTTTAGTAAATGTAAAATTACAAATTCTTATTTTAGGATGAATTAACAGAAAAGATCCTGCTAATAATGTGACATTGGGTCAGTTTTTGAAATAAATTATTTTATTAAGAAATGTAGATAAAATATTTTGTTGATATTTTGCGAGCGTAGAGAGATAACTTATCGACTTTATTTTCTTGTTTTAAATGAAAAATGTTTACATTTTTTCTTAACGAGAAATAAGGTATTTTTTTAATGAAGTATCTCCTAGTTTTTATGCATTTTTTAATTTAAAATAAAAATACTTTTTGTGACCGTATATCAGTTTTTTTTTTTTTTTACAGTGAGGGAAGTAAATGAGCCTTGGTTTTCATAAATTAGATTTACCATTTTAATAAAATTAAAAAAGATTGTTTTTTTTCCTTTTTCCCAGGTTGTTGGTGTATTAGTGAAGGAATTTTTCCTTGATATAGTGTGTTAAAGCCTATGTTTGTTTCATTTTGGTGCATATTTACATCACCGAAGTGGTGTTAATATTCACCGCTTCACGCAATAACAAGCACTGAATTATCTCCCTTACACCCAGGTTTGCCAGAGTAAAATTTTTATTTAAAGCCAAACTATACGTATAAAAAACCAGGAAAAAGCCAAATTAAAATTTGTATATAAAGACAAATAATAATAATATAGATTTAAAAAGAGAGACCGAAAATGGGATTTTATTTATTTATTAATATATAATGGGATTTTAGGTGAAAATCTCAACCCCACAAAAAAACTACTAGAGACTGGTCAAGTCAAGTAAAAAAAAAAAAGCAATAGCACTTAAGTTAAAAGTTGCAAAATAAAAATTCCTTTCCCTGACGTAATGTGATTGTCTGATAACTTGCACAAAGTGAATGTAAAAGTGAGGGGAGGGAAATATTTTTCTTCTCCCTTATAACTACTTCAGGATGACGTTGGTAACAAAGTCACGTGACTGGTGTAACTATAAAAAGTTAGTAAAAAATAACAACAACTTTTAATGCATAAGAACAAACAACCCAAGGTAAATACATTGCTCTTCTCCCGTCTGAACAGTCAAATTCTCCACACATTCCCAAGAACCAAAAGGAAAAAGAAAAAATGAATAGAAAATAAATATAGGGATGCATGTACAGTATCCTTCCAGTGCCAATTGACATTATTTTTTTTTTTTTGCTATATTGGGCCCACCTAACTTATTTGAGGAGTAGACTAGCCTACCCTGCTGGCACCTCATAGGTGTGCAATCTAGACAGTACCATTTTTGTTTTGAAGGTAGGGGAGATTCGATCCCCACACACCCAAAGTGGCACCAGTTATCATATCTGTCACAGCAAATTATAGCTTGATTATCCTGCATGGCATTGCATATTGGACAGACCCAAACCATTTCCTCTTCGTTGGTAGGCAAGGTTTGAGGAGGGATAGGAGCAAGATCATCTGCAGATTCACCAGCAGAGGAGTGCAAGGCTGGAACTTGATCTACCCCGCCTACTGATAGGGACAACTCAAGCGGAAACAGGTTCTTCAAGGAGTGGACTTGCACACCATCACCCTGTTTAAGTTTAACTGTCCTGACAACAACACCATCCTTTCTGATAATCAGTTCTAAAACAATAACAAGAACCCAAAAGGGCTCTTGATTAAGATCACATCCCCAACCTTCAGTCTCTTCTGGAATGACACTCTAGAACATCCCTGGTGCCTCTCCTGAGGCTCAACTGGTACTGGGCTCTAAATTTCTCCAGGCATCAGTTCCGCATTTGCATGATTCTGATAGGTCTTTCCCTGCCGGGGGTGGGAGCATGGAGGGTGCAAAATCTTACTCATTCAGGTTCAACAGCAGCCCAGGATTCACATTATCCTGCAAAAACATGCTTAGTGTTACTGCTTCTAGCTCTCTCTTTCTCTCTCTGCCAATTCTCGATAAATTGGGAGCAGTTACTGACAACCCTTTGAATGTCAGAGATAAGGGTTAGTAGGGAAAAATAATCTATCTTACTCCAGCCAACCACATTGTGGAGGCAAGTTTTGATTGTCTGGATACTTCTTCCCTAGATACCTCTAACCCAGGGAAGAAACAGAATGGGAAATAAATTAATTTGGCAAGAGCCAAACTTCTGCTGGAAATCATGGCACAACAACAACCTCCTGAACAGCCAACCACCACCCAGGAAGCTCCACACATTATCACTGTAGATGGTAGCCAGAATGCCATCCAAGTTGGTGAAATGTACCAATGCCTGAAGAAAGAACAACACACCCAAGTCTGGCACTACATCAATGTGTATGGCTCTGACACTAAGACAAGTGAAACTGAGCAAATACATTTTCACCTCCCTATCACACTTTTTAATCTAAACATGCCCAGTGAGTTGGCTCCCATATGTTTGAAGGGAACCTCCAGCTCCACACCTGAAATGGGTAAATTGGCTACATTGGGAGGAAGGACATGTTTGGCAATGTACCTCCTGCACAATGCACAGGTACCCAAGTCTTTTCTTGAAACTGCAGTTGAAATCTGGATGAATTTTATTGGTAGATGTAGAATCTGCCTTCAGGATAGGCCTGTTTGTAATCTAAATATATTCCTTAAACCACTGAGGGGGAACAAAAATCTCCTTTATTATTTCGTTATGTTCCTGCCAATGGAAAACCTTCAAATAGTCCCAATAAAGCCCATTGTGTTCCAGTTTCAATGCCACATGGTCCAAGACATGAACGGCCACAGAATGGTTGGAAGGGACACAAGATATCTTGTCAGACTCCCAAGGTAGTTGTATATAATGCTCATTGTCCTTGAAGGAGATAGATTGTCTGAAGAGCGCAACCATCTGCTCATCATAGACATCTTTTGTTTCTTTATCCCTAGTGACTCCACACTGACCATTCTTTCTAATCTCCTTTGTACATCACTTTTGGGGAAGAAATCACTTAAAGGGTCATCATATGTGCTCCTGAACTCCAGCACAAAACATAATTTCAAGGTTTTAATTTCAGCAGTGGAAGCAAGCACAGAATCAAATGCAAAGCATTTACGGTTCTCGTTCTGTGAGTGTCCACGTGAGTGAAATCTTGTCACCTCTCCAAATGGAACAAGCCCTGTTAGGGCTGAAAATGCCCACCCATGCAGACAAGACACCAGTTGAAGGGCTCCAGGTGCTGAATTAAATCTATCCCAATTATTCCATTCATTGGAATAAAATTGGTGCCTTTGTCAAACCTGCCAGCAAGGGGACATTTGATACATTGAAATTCATCCAAAATGGAGTCCAGTTCCTTGATGTACACTGATAAATCAATGCTATTATCTACCAACACTGAGAGTGAAAGTGGATGATTGAATCCAACATTGATTTACAGGAGTATCTCCTTGAAGTGCTTGTCACAGTCTCCAAGGAGTGTTGATAACTGAATTCACAATCAACCCCTATGGACTCCAAGCTGCCGAGAGGCTTCAAAACTTCACTGGATAGATAGGTCCAACCACTACCAGTGTCCAACGAACAATTGGCAGACACACTTTCACCATTTCTACTAAAGGTTACACGTAAGACAGTTGGGAGGTTAGTTCAATTCCTAGAATAAGTACAGAATGCAGAGTTAACACGAAAAGAAGAATCCCTCCAGGTGGAGTTGGATCGAGACTGCAACTCCGCATCTCTAAATGTGCCCTGCTGAACATCAGGGATAGGGTCATAGGGTCTGAGGGATTACTCCCCTTGATAAAGAGGCATTTGATAGCCTCTCTGGTATCTCATAACATGGAAGACAATGTGGGAATTACCAGAGAGCTGAATCAATTCACCCTTAACTTCTCTGCGAAATCTAGAGAAAAGTATTTTTGCTATGAGGTGAGCCCCAGAAGACTGGTCTTCTGAGAAGGCACAGTTGAAAGAGCTTTCCAAATCTGCCAGAAGTGAGGCATTATGCCGTGAAGCAGCCATCTCTAATATATTCAATATTCAAGTCAGGAATAACAAGTCTGAAAAGAAATTCACAAATATTAGTATACCTCATACTGAAAGAAAGTGATTATATATATATATAAGTTATGTGTGTGTGTGTGTGTGTATAGATAGATGGATAAATAGATAGATAGGGGACATAAACTTGTGAGAAATTTTTCAATGCATTTACCCTATAAATAGCCTAGGTGTCAAAAATGACACCTCGGCCATTCAAGGTAAAACCTCAAATATCAAATATCCACTGAATATTTTTTAAAGAATTAAGTCTGTTAAGCATCTTTGCTAAAATTCAATAATTGTCCATAAGCCTCAGCATCGAATCAAAACTAGTTATTCCATAGTGATTTGTTGAAAATTTGAAGGTGTCAAAATAGAAACCTCGGCCATCCTAGTGTTAATGAAGAAGTCCAGTATATCCTGGAAAATGTTGTCAATGATTTCATCTTTGTTCAGGTTTCCTTTCTTCAGGACACTGAGGGTAATTCAATAATTCTTATTGCTGATAATGAGAGATGGTTAATCAGCAGTAGGGGCCTTTCAGAGAGTGAACATTTTAAGAAGTTCAGCCTTTCAGCATCA